CAGAAAATTGTACTCAGTAAGGCAATAACAGTTTTAGAAAAAGATTGGAAGTAATAGAAATGTTTGTTGGCGAATAAAATTGTGCATAGCTAAAAAGTAAAGAAGGAAATATTGATACTAAAAACTGTACGACTTCCTATTCTGTGGATTAGATATGGGACTAAAAATTATAGGATTTTTAGGTATGATCAAATATTATAATTTATTAACAACAAATTATATTATATAAACATTATTTAAATCCAAACTTATTGATATTGAAATCTAAATCACCTCTTGTATAATTCTTTAATAATATTCGGTTTTGTTTCTTCTACTAATGCTCCAGTAATTTGCTCTTTCGTATCCTCATCTTCTTCCTCTATTTTGATAACAACTTCACTGCAATAATCATCCATTTTAATTCTGATGCTTAGCTGGTTTCTCACGACTTTGAATTCTAAAACACAAATCACAATTTCAAAAATTAGTAAAAGAACTTATAATTAATTAATAAAAATGTCTTTAGCTTGAGGTTAAACATATTCAAATGAAACATGAGGGTAGACATATGTTTTATTTAAAAAAACCGAGAAGTTTTACCAGCGAATGACATCATTAGAAACATGCCTATACTTATCTCGTATTAAGGGACAATAATTACATTGTGTTTAATTATTGATATTGTATATATATAAATATATATATTATTCTTCCCTTCCGATACGGCGACCCGTGCCGTCTTTGATAAACAATATTGGAATTTACCCAGTTGTCAGTAGCGTTGACGTTATTCTCGGGTTACCGCGAGACCTTTTTAATTGTAATATTGGTCAACTACTTACAATAAAGTTTAACGTGTTTTTTTTTAACAACTGTGTTTAAACAAACATTAACCTAATTTTCCTCTACCACATTTACCTGCTTGCCTACCACTCAGACCTACAACAATAATACATTCAAAATATTTAATATTTCTGTTGACCATAGATTATATTTGTTAAGAAAATAAATTTACTAGTAAGCATATAAAAAATGATAACTCAATAAAAATTAATACATCACAATCCTGATTTAGTAAAAAAGGAATACAATTTTTAGTATGGAACATGCTAATTTGCTAACATTGCGATACTTAAGTAGCGCGCCTACTTTAAATATATAATCACATCTTATTGCCATCGAAATAATAACGAGTCGTCGTCGTCATGCAAATAATTGGTCAGAACATATGCTGCTAACTAGCAGTCGTAACAATTGGTGTACAATGTTCTTATGAATTATATAAACCTAATGAATTGTCTAGATTGGTAACAAGATATCAAAATGTAGAAAGCTTTTAGAGAAACTATAGAACAATTGAACAGTATATCAATAATAAATTATAATCACTAATTGTAATTATTAGAAGTCTCAATTAACAAAATTATTACTTATGTGGTGTTTTACAATTTATCAATTTTCATTCTAAATGTTTTTTATAAGTTCAACAAGTCAGTTTAAATTAAAATAAAGTAGAGAAATCTGTTCCCTAATATAGCAGTAGACTAGTGTTATCATCCTCATAGCCGTCGAAAGCGCTTCTCACTCTGTAAGTGTATACTTCTAAAACGACTGTACGCTAACCATTTGAATTGTTTAAAAAATCCATATTAAATCTGTAAGCTGTAGGTTACTTAATAATTTCTTAAGACAAATAACCCAATAAAAACAGTGATAATCCATTTTTTATGGATGGTTTTCAAGATAATATGAATTTTTAAAAAATCACAAAGTAGGTTCACGTTTTAATAAATATATCCAATTGGAATTACCAATCGTTTAGTCGCACAAGCTATCAAATCCAAGTATTTGAATAAAATTATATCACAATAAAAAATAATTTCTCAAAAATCAGTTTATAGAAAAATATTTGAATGTTTACATAGGAAAAGGATGGTGGCATCTGTTACACCGAAAGGCTGTTAAATAGCGTTTTCATCCCTACGGCCGTTGACACACCTCAGTCTATAAGTCTAAACTTTACACAAGTACAATTCATTAAATTGTTTTAAAAATCATTATTAAACCCGTAAACTCTGTAGTTTATTTTAAAATAAATAAAATAGGAGTAAATCGTAATTCATGATAAAGTTAATACCGGTACTTACGTTTACAGAGCTAATTTGAGACCCTCAGATTTACAGACCACACAGCACAGCGCTGATCTAGAATGTTTTTTGGTAAAAACGCACAATGAATAATAACTTTTTTAAGAAAACCTTAAGTGACGTTGTCTTAATATAAAGCATAAACATATACTGCATGACTCATAATGAACGATACACATACAAACTAGAGTGCACTATCACAGAACAGTCTACAACATGTGATAACAGCGACGACTGCGGTCCGCGATGGTCGGCTGGAGGTAGAACGCAGTGAAGGTATCATATAAAACATGATAACTCGATATAAATTAATATATCACAATCCTGATTTAGTAAAAAAGGAATAACATTTTTAGCATGGACATGCTTTAGCCTTAGCCCCCCAGCCCGAAAACGACCCTAACTTGCGATACTTAAGTAGCGCGCCTATTTTAAATATATAATCACATCTTATTGCCATCGAAATAATAACGAGCCGCCGCACAGTGGGCAAAAAAGCTGATTTAGGCGGACAAAAGTCATTCTCAGAATTGTTCTCCATTTAATGCTAGTTGTTTTTTTTTATAGTTGTGAAACCCAGAAACAGCATAGCTCCTGTTGAAAATGTATTCATAATTATTAATATGTGACGGTTTTGAGACATGGTTGAACAAATTTATATTATCTCGCATTGTTATCAGCGTCAATTCTGTTGCTTATCAGTTGTAATAATTATTACAACTACAACAATTTTGAAGTTAAATATCATTTTCAAAATTTAATTTTGTTTAAAAATGATTTTTTTAAGTTCGCCAAAACTAACAAAATCTCACAGAACACGTTATTTCGTATTTAAACTGAATTTTTTCGTGAAACAAGCAAAATATAAGGAAGTATCCACTGTATAAAAAAATCTGAAAGAATTAAAAAAAAACTGTCGTCCCCGCCGGATAAATGGTGTTCCAAATTTGGAAAATTTTAATACAAATTAAAACAATTTGGCTGAAATTTAGTCAATTACTTTTTAAACAAAATGAGTATCAGATTCATGTTGCTCACACACAGAACTGGAATGGTAAGGTCAAATTCATGAGTTTTAAGGTTCCTTGCAATTTTTCTATGTTTAAAACCTGTTTTCAAAATAGTCTACTTAAAATTTTTGCCTTATATAACTATTAACATTCAATTTATTACACAGCCCCCTGTTTTTGGGCCTCCACTTTAAAGACTCTATTTAATCTCATTTTGCGAAAAATGAGAATAAAACACTGGGCAAATGTATGCAAAAGAAATGGTAATATTTAAATACTAGATTAAATTTCCTTTAAAACCATACAATGCTCATTGCGCCACTCTTCACCCCTTTTATACTTTTTTTCTTCTAAGGTTACGAAACAAAAATAACAAGACAATTTTTTGAAAATTTTCTTTAATTTTTATTCGTACTTATCTTGCTTGAAAGCATCCATATCAAAATTTTACTCCTTAAATATAACTATACTTCAAAATTGTCCACTCTATGTCCTACAGAATCCATCACCCTATTATGTATAATTACTTATTAAAAGAAGTATTCCTTAATGTAGTTAGTACAGTAAATGATCTCGGTATCACATTTGATTGGGAACTTAACTTCCATGACCATATTGAAAAATCTTGCTGTAAGGCGCTAAAGACACTTGGGTTCGTAAAGAGAGTTTCCACGGAATTTAACTTGTTAGCTCCGTTAAAATCTTTGTACTGTGCTCTTGTTCGATCTATTCTAAAGTATGCTGTGGGACCCTAATACCGTAATTGCTAAAAACCAGATAGAGAGGGTCCAACGGAAATTCTTGTATTTTGCTGCCAGGGTACTCCATATTGCTCACTGACCACACGACTATGAGCCAGTATTAAATAAACTTGGGTTAGCAACACTAGCTGATAGGCGTATTTCTGCTAGTCAAGACTTTTTGAGAAAGCTTATGGATGGTACTATTGGTTGTCCTGATTTATTAATTGAACTCAACTTCAAAGTCCATAACTTCCATTCTAGATCCCCATATCCTTTCTTTGTACCGATTTGCAACACTAATTATTCATATAATAGACCTATTTTCAAGATATTGCGCATTGCAAATGTGAACATCTCCACCTTCACTTTTGTATAGCTTGTTAAATTAAATAACTATAAATGTATTTCTGTGTCTACAAAAATTGTACTTTGGGCCACGGCCTGTTTTGTAAAATAAATAAAATAAAAAATTATCACTAATTGTAATTATTAGAACTCTCAATTAACAAAATTATTACTTATGTGGTGTTTTACAATTTATCAATTTTCATTTTAAATGTTTTTTTTAAGTTCAGCAAGTCAATTTACATTAAAATAAAGTAGAGAAATCTGTTCCCTAATATAGCAGTAAACTAGTGTTATCATCCTTATAGCCGTCGATAGCGCTTCTCACTCTGTAAGTATATACTTCTAAAACGACTGTACGCTAACCATTTGAATTGCTTAAAAAATCCATATTAAATTTGTAAACTGTAGGTTACTTAATCATTTCTTAATACAAATAAAACTATAAAATCAATGATAATATTACTAGATACTTACAGTAACACAATTACAACGAGACTACTAACTACTTGCAAATGCTCTTCTTCTTTGGGATATAACAACAGGTAGAGAATTACACACTCAATGTTTTATATGTATTGGAGAAACTAAACAAATATACTTATTTATTCAAATCTGATTAGCAAGGATTTTTTAGTCAGATTGCAATGGCCAAATTATACAGTAGTATAATCAACGGTAGTATATTTTCTGTTTTTATTACCATTTTGGGAACTCCTGGCTGCTCTTATCAGATATTGTTAGCAGAACTCCTCTTATCTATTTGTTTACATTAGTAAAAACTTATTAATTTTTTTAATTGCTTATATAATTTGTATTATTTAAATGTTTAAATTAGTTTTTAGTATTAAGTTTGTTCATTATTATGTGGTTTAATGAGCGTGCACGTTCTTCAAAGAAATGTGTATTGAAGTCGTGTGGAGAAAAACGTACTGGCAATGAATCATTGAGCTTGTTTAGTTTTCCTAAAGATCCTGTTCGGTAATTCGATTTTATTATAATTATAAAAACTAACATAAGTCAACGGTGTTTTTAAACAATTAAAAAATAGCTTTTTCTTTATGCTTTAGATGTGGAATCTGGTTAACTAATTGTCAACTCGATGCCGATAGTCATTCTCTAAAAAACATTTTATTGTGCAGTAAACATTTTGAGAAAAAAATGTTTCTCAATGATCTAAGAAATAGATTACAACCACACGCTATACCTACATTTTTTCCAGGTACATATGAAAAATGTCTATCTAAATAAAATAAAAATGTAAAACTGTATTCTTACTTCTCAGATAGAAAAGATTCTCAAAAATTGGCCGACTCAACATCTTGTGTTGAAGATAAACCATTGGACATTTCTTCCACTGGTAAATTATTTTTCTAATAATTTGTTAACTTATATTTTACTAACCTTATATGTCCTTATATAATATATAGGTAGTGTAATAACATGCACATCTGAAGACTCGTGTGTCGAAGACATTTTGCGTACCCAAATTAAAAATGAGATGAAAGCTCGTCTTAAAGCCGAAAAAACTGTAATGAAATTAAGGAAACAACAAGCCAAATATGAGAGCGTTGAACATTTTCTTGATCTGTGTCAAAAACATTTGTCTCCTGATGTACTAACCATTGTGAAGTCTCACATGACAGAAAAGAAACCCTCATGGATACAGGTATACTAATGATATGAAACAACTGGCGTTGACAATCTACTTCTTAGGCCCAGCTGTATATAGGTTCTTGAACACAGTATTTAGTCTACCTTCTATTAGAACGTTAAGGAGAGTTGCTTCAAAATATGAACAACTTCTGGTTCAATTGAATTTTTTATTCGAGTTTGTTAAATTTAAAATTTCTAATTTTCAAAATGATACGCTTGACTGTATATTATGTACTGAGGAAATGTCTCGTGAAACCCATTTGTTTTAATTACTTGGTGCAGCCAAGTATGCATAAGTTTTAATGCTAAGAGGAAATAAAGTAGCTTGGAAATTTCCTATAGCGTACTTTTTGTGTCTGGAAGCAGCAAAAGTGTAGATTTAAGTGGTATTGTAAAGACGTTAAATATTTCTTTAAATGTAAAAGCGTTTTCTACAGACCAAGGGTCAACTTTTGTTAGTTTTAGTAAAAGCGTCCATGTTAGTCTAGAGCACTCTTATTTTACAGTTAGAAGTAAGGATATTATATACTTATTTGATCTGCCACACTTGATAAAGTCAACAAGAAATATGTTCTTAAACATTATTTTAAAATTGGTGATGAAACAATTGATAGTACCTATCTTCAACAATTTTATAGTAGAGATAGCAAACTTGATTTTTTTTTTTGTAAAAAGATTAGCAGGAGCTTACTTTTGCTCACATATGTCCTGGGCCATTTGAAAAAAATGAGAGCATTTATCTGCCAGGTGTTTATCGAATCGGTAGCTGTTGGTATGAATACTTACTTAGCATTGGGTAAACTAGCGTTGAGTCTAAAGCTATTATTCATTTTATAACTAATATGTAAATAAACTTTTTGATATATTTTATTCATCTAACGTGCCAAATAGCAAATGCTATCGAAAGCCTTTTAAAAATACATTATTGCAAAAAAAAACATCTTTTTATTATGATTTCAACTTTTCAAAGTGAATGGGGCAGATATAGACTGCCCGAATGAATTTCATTGATGGGTGGCTTATATCCATAAATTGTTTTTCTAATGCTGTATGACTCTTGGAAATTCCAAGCATCCCAGCGTTTATTTATTGTATAGTAATCGTACAAATTTAGGATTGTTTAAAAACATTTGTTCGGTATATTTCAAAATAAGAATGGAAACAACTGAAATCCAATTCCAGTATAATTGTATGTTGCTTTTAGAAATGTATTTTATCTAAACTATTTTCAGCATTCACACAATGCTAATTGCATAAAAGACCTAGATGAGATTTTGTGTTACATAAATTCCCAAGAAGCCAGCGCTGCCAATATTGTGTTGTTAGAGTCGGTTTTAAGAAATACATACTTTAATTGCCAACATTCCTGTGACTTGTGTGTGTGTGTAGTATGGTAGATCTCAAAAAAGTTTAGATCAAGCATTATTATAATGCTATTTTAAAGCCTACACCAATACTGTACGGTAACCTTCAAACGCCCGATAATGATTTATTTTAAATACATAATTGAACTTGATAATATTTTTATTCAACATTTTCCATTACTCGCAGTTGCTAAAGGAGTGGCGCCTAATGAACATTTATGTAAATTACCTTATAAGTATCCATTTCCAAATTGTGATTGTTTATTTAGTTAAATTATTTATTAGATTTAGAATATTTTCATCTGTTAAATTTTTAAATAGAGAACTGATTTCAAAGTGGCAATTAAAAAATTAAAATATGACAGTACTGAAACATTTATAGTAAAACCTTATCATTTTTTATTTATATTTTCATGTAATTGTAATAATATTTTATAATCATTTTTAATATTAGTGATATTGATACTACTTTTACATTATGAATTTACTGCTTACCTAGTTTTTAATAATTTAATAACTTTTTTTTTAATGTAGAACATTTTAAAGTATAAACATGTTTTTAAGAGTTTTATTATTTTATATTTTATTTTTACAGGCACTAGAAATTCCAACAGAAGTCAAGTAATGTTTGGCGATACCTTTTTAACGACTCAGATGGAATTGGAAATCACTATTTGTGTGTATGCTAATTTTAGCTGCTTACATAATACTAAATATATTTTCTAACATTTTTTTTTCTGTAAAAAACCATAGGAATTAAGAAAGAATGATGTTTTAATTTTTTTAAAGAATTTTTGTGTCTGGACCCACATTATCTTTTGAACCGCTTAATAGATTTGATAACGAACCAAGACTTTAGACCAGTTAATGTATCCTAATGTACTTTGAATCGAGAAGAACATACTAAAAGTTTACATTATGAACTTAAAATTAACGCACACTATATATTTTTAAAAAATAGTCAGAATATTTTCAATAAACGATATTGTCGATATTTGTACTTCTGTCATTGACAGATTAGTATCGAAGCGTAATATTTATTATAGTAAAACAACATTTAACTAAAATGTCTTCCAAATATAAAAATTTTAAATTCTTTTCATAGAAAATGAGAGTCTAACGCTAAATAGATCACAGAGTATAATATACATAACAAACAAAAAATAACGTACCGCTTTTATTTTATATAATTGCGTTTATTGTACTATATGCTATAAACATTTAATACACTATGTTTTATTTTATATTATAAATTAAATAATGTTTAATAATCTAACAATTTAGATTTTATACTGATATCTTTTTATTTTTACAAATTATGTATAATATAATATTAATAGATGAGAAACGGCGTTTCGCCAAAATAATAAAGCATTTGAATATAATGTACACTTATAATATAGGCTGGTTGAATTTAATCGTAATGTATATTATAGTCAGGGAATCGCAATGAGTGAAATATTACACTATGATGTTCCAGCTCTATATATTTTTAATCTACGGATATGCGTGTAGCCTGTATGTAACGAGCCATATTATTAAAATTTCGTCCTACCAACACTAATGAAACCATATCTCTGACAGAAACACTGTATTTTAAGCCAACTGCTCCCAGAAGTTTCGTAAAAAGTTCTAATTTTATATTGTCTGGAAAAACAAAAAACAAGCGTATAGTTAACTAAAAAACCAGCGTAGAAGAATAAAAAAAAAAATAGAAAAAAATGCTTAGGCCCTAAACTATATAAGCGATTGTTGACTATATTGAGCATTAACAAATTGTTATTGACATTTTCATATGACACTAAAATTAGTACACTAATACAGCTCTCTAACTCATAAAACAACGGAAAATTTATATTAATGTGTAATATTTAAAAAAAAATTGTTTGAGATTATTCTAACTGATTTCAGCAACTAGGCTATTCGCCTATGTTTAAGACACGTTGTACAAAATAATTATTTATAAATTAATAAGTGTAGGGGACTAAATCTATGTAATAATAATGTGTTCAGATTTATATATTTCAAAAAGTGTATTATTCTCTCCTAGTGCATCTTTTAGTGTGTTTGGGATATTATGTTGAAGGCTGATGTATATTTTTATATGCAAAATTGTGTAATGACAAATAGGAGATGTGTTTTTTATAAACACCTAGGGTTTTCTTAAAGTATTAGACATGAACCCTTCTAATATTATGATGTACGTACAATATTGTAATATTATTTTACAATTTACAATTTATATATTTAATTAACTTCCTTGCAATCCTAAAATTTGAACTTAAAAGAAATTCTTCAAAACTGGCTATCGGTTAATCAACATTTTCAGCAAATTATTCTTATTTGTTTAAGTTAATTAAATACATGCGTTAAAGTTTAAAAAGTTGCCAGAACTCAAAATTCACTAAAATGTTTAAAGAAGGTTTGTATTCTATTTTTTAAATAATATATAAGGGTTTTAATTTGACTATTGTCGGTATTGTAGATTCGATGTTGAACCGAGTGTAAGACAACCGATTAGGTTTGAAATTGACTTTTTAACGTCCGAAGAAATCATTTTTAACTTCGCCTTCGTAGAAAATAGGCGAACAGTTTATTGTATGATAAATAATTATTAATACTAAAAATTACCCTTGTCTTTTGCTTCTTCTGAATTATTGTCCAAATAATCTTTTACAGTCCCGCTATTTTCTTCACCAATAAAATCAATAAAACTCTCTAATTTAAGATCTTCTTCTTCAGGTGTCTCGTAGAAATCTAAAGCAACTTCATAAGCCTTTTGTATAGCCTGAAAAGTTTTTTGAAAGAAATTTGTCAAAATAACAATTTTATTTTTGTTTAGGTGTCAAACCATAAACTGGCTTTGAGGTAGCTAATGTCGTATTAATTGAAATAAAATGATAATATTTTATTCGTTAATTTTTAAGTAACTATATTTAAAAAAAATATATATTCCCAAATTTAAAAATTAAAAAATTACAAATGACAGTACCTATTGAAATAAACAATTATATAATATAGTATATATATATACAATATTGTATTACAATTTAATAAATATTCGTTTAACCTATTATTTTTTCATTCATATCATATTTTATTTAAAAAAATTATTTAATAAATAGTTAAAAAATATTAAAATTATAGTTTTGATCGATAAAAATAATAATCTAAAATTGTTTCAGTATAATAGTAGAAAAAAAAATATGAAAAATTACCTCTTTACCAGTTAGTTCGGCATATGTAATTAAGATGAAGGATATCAACAAAATAATATACAGTTTGAAGTTCATAGTATTAATATTTTATTTACTGTTTTCACTGAAGTTTAACTAAGCAAAATTAAAAGGAATAACACTATTCTCTGTGAAATTGTCGGGTTTATAGCTATCTGAAAAGTTAAATCTAAAATAATAATATATTTTACTGTCAACAATATGGTTATGTTGTGACGTTTACTATTTTTCGGATCACAAAAATGTGTTTGTTTTACAGACAAGTGTTATTTTTTTTTAAGTATTCGGTTGACGAAATGCCAAAAGACGCCAATGTTGACTTATACGGTATTACTATGTAACACTCAGAAAAAGTGAAAATGTATCGAAATTATACTTAATAAACATAATTTAGGGGTCACCTCAGTCCTCTACTATTCATTTGATTTGTCAATTTCTACAAACAAATGGATGCCTAAGTTAGAAAAGCTGTCTCACACTTAATGCTGAGCTTTACATGTTTTTTTTCTTGGGTTAAACACCTTGGACTTGGACATCTCCTACTCTTATTTTCTTAATGGTATTCCTCTCGAGCGAGTTTTCTTGGTATATATTATACACAGTCTTTGAACTTTGACCATCTCATATCAATACTACCGTCAGTAAAGCTCTCAACGTGATGGGTTTTATAAAATGTAATACATCAATGTTTAAGCCTACAAATTGCCTTCGTATATTTTATTTTGCCTTAGTTCGGTTTATTCTACAATAAGGCACAATTATTTGGCATCCTTACCTAGCAAATGTTAACATAAATTCAAATAATTACAAAATCTATTTGAGCTGCAAATAAATGAACTACAAATATTTTCAATAATTTGTTATAATATCTTATGGTTAAATTTACTTTTGTTTTTAAACGACTTTTAGCGTTAAAGCGGGACAACTATAACATAATTTAACAGACATAAAATTAGGTATATTGTTAGAAATGTTTGCGTCCTATAGATTTTGCCACAAAATATTAAAGCAATTCAACCAAACTACAGAAATCGTTATTTAAAACTATAATATATCGGCTGCTTGACGACTAAGTAGAGTTCAGAGTTAAATAAATTGTACTTACAACTTGTGTGATATTTATGAAAATTCTTAACAATAACAAATAAGTTACAGATATTTAATAGTATTTATTACGTAAAAGCGTTTGCTACAAAAATCGCAACAATTAAAATCAAGAAGTAACAATATTTGCTCTGTAGAAAAGCATAAAGTCATTGTGGTTTTTTTATGATGTATACAATTACAATAACATAATTCTTAAGCTAAAAATATTTGGCTCCAAAATGATATACATTTTTGTTATCAGTATGTGATCAGTGTTTTATAGTTATGTTCAAAAAAAATAGTGACAAGTAAATAAATGTCGCGATTAGCTAACAAATTATTTACTAATAAAAATTGACAAAATTTAACTTGTTTTAACTGTAAATCGTATGACAATGTTGACATAGTCATGTCGAAACAATACAAGATGTCCGATAGTAATAAAACCATAAAACTATTAATAAAACATGTTGAGCACTAAAAAAAAGGCTGCAGGTTCAAGTGGAATAAATCACCCTAACAAAACATTTAAATAATAATTTTGTAGGTTTTCTTTAAAGGTGTTTGGTCAACGTCGATAGTATGTATTTTGTTCAAGCCCCTCGCGCTCCAATACTTATCTTCACTGCGTTCTACCTCCAGCCGACCATCGCGGACCGCAGTCTCCGCTGTTATCACATGTTGTAGACTATTCCGTGATAGTGCACTCTTGTTTGTTTGTATGTGTATCGTTTATTATGAGTCACGCAGTATATTATGTTTATACTTTATAATTAGACAACGTCACTTAAGGTTTTCTAAAAAAAAGTTATTATTCATTGTGCGTTTTTACCAAAGAACATTCTAGATCAACGCTGTGCCGTGTGGTCTGTAAATCTGAGGATCTCGAAGTAGCTGTGTGAACGTGAGTAATGTTGTATACGATATTATCCAATACCCGCCTCAATTTACACTAACTTAAACTCTTTCAATCAGTTAAACTAGGATTTTTTAAAGTTAATCAAAGCCAATGCCAACGCGCACAGTATAGTTTCGAAAGGTTTAAATACCTTTCGAAACTATACTTCAGCCAGCACAAATAACACACTAACAATAAGTAATAGTTATGCAGCGCATCTAATACGGTTTTTGGTCGTAATTAGAGACCATTTTTTAATTATTCCTAGAGCTAGATTAATGACAATTTCTGTAAGTTTAGAACTTAGGGATTAAAGACCATTTGCAATTTTGATCACTAAAAAGGTTGTCCTAGTACACGTTATTTGGAGTTAAACTTTAACGTAAAAGAGAGTAGTAAATAATAAAAGTGACGCTATTAAATAATAACACAAAAAAAGGATTACACTTTGAAAACAAGTATAATAGCAATTAAAACACACAGAACGATCGGTAAGTACAAAATGGTCTCCACCTAGGTAATGCTAAGTGGAGAGGTTAATTTGGCTTACTTGACATTTGCCTTTTATAGTAAAAATAGTTAATATTGTTTTGCGTATTTTACATTAAGTTAAAGTGGGTCATTTGTATGAATTGCCGAATTGGCGTTATTGTTACACAGTACATAATAATACACAATTTTAACATATAATTTGTTTTACTTAATCTATTTACTTAAATTCTACTCTATACTACAGTACCGATATTAACATTATCATCAATTACAATTTTATCCCATTTTATTTATTTTAATAATAAAGTACAGAGTTTACTGGCTTAATAAGGACTTTTGAAACACTAGTTTACTGTTATATAAGGGAACAGATTTCTCTACTTTATTTTAATGTAAACTGACTTGTAACCTACAGTTTACAAATTTAATATGGATTTTTTAAGCATTTCAAATGGTTAGCGCTCAGTCGTTTTAGACGTATATACTTACAGAGTGAGAAGCGCTATCGACGGCTATAAGGATGATAACACTAGTTTACTGCTATATTAGGAAACAGATTTCTCTACTTTATTTTAATGTAAACTGACTTGTTGAACTTATAAAAAACATTTAAAATGAAAATTGATAAATTGTAAAACACCACATAAGTAATAATTTTGTTAATTGAGACTTCTAATAATTACAATTAGTGATAATAATTTATTATTGATATACTGTTCAATTGTTCTATAGTTCTTCTATAAGCTCTCTACATCTTATTACCAATCTAGACAATTCATTAGGTTTATATAATTCGTAAGAACATTGTACACCAATTGCTACGACTGCTAGTTAGCAGCATATGTTCTGACCAATTATTTGCATGACGACGACAACTCGTTATTATTTTGATGGCAATAAGATGTGATTATATTTTTAAAGTAGGCGCGCTACTTAAGTATCGCAAGTTAGTGTCATTTTTGGTGCTAAAAATGTTATTCCTTTTTAACTAAATCAGGATTGTGATGTATTAATTTTTATTGAGTTATCATTTTTTATATGCTTACTAGTAAATTTATTTTCTTAACAAATATAATCTATGGTCAACAGAAATAATAAATATTTTAAATGTTTTATTGTTGTAGATCTCAGCGGTAGGCAAGCGGGTAAATGTGGCAGAGAAAAACTAGGTTAATGTTTAAACACAGTTGTTAAAAAAAAACACGTTAAACTTTATTGTAAGTAATTGTCCAATATTACAATTAAAAAGGTCTCGCGGTAATCCGAGAATAACGTCAACGCTACTGACAACTGGGTAAATTACAATATTGTTTATCAAAGACGGCACGGGTCGCCGTATCGGAAGGGAAGAATTATATATATATATAACAATAATATTATGTATATATTTATATATAAACTTTTAAATGGTTATGTTAACTGTCCGGATTTATTATCTAGTATTTCTTTTTTAGTTCCTGGTCGTATGACTAAACAAACTAATACTTTTTACGTGCCATTCCAGCGTACCTCATATGGTAAAAACAAACCCTTTAGTTAGATCTACGCAACATGTAAAAAATTTTAACATTGACATGTTTATTTGTAATTCTTGTATTACGTTTAATTTATATATTAGTGATTTAATAACTTAATTTATTGTACCTACACATAAACCTTTATCTATGTAAATATTTTATCCACGTATAATTTGTCATTGTGCTTGCCCGTTTAATAATAAATAAATACATATATATATATATACAATATCAATAATTAAACACAATATTACCACATTGTTAAGAGAAAAATTGAATTATATTTTGATGGTAGGGTAAAACAGTGATGAGGTACCGATATTAACATTTTCATCTATTACAATTTACACCAGTTTTATTTATTTTAATAATTAACTACAGATTACAGTAATAAAATAATATTAAAAACCCTCGACTGTAAAAATGATATACTCTTAGCGTATATTGGCAACAATGTTGTCATCTTCACCGCTAACGACAAACTGAGAACTCGGTCTTATACTCAGACTTATAAACTGAGGTGCGCCATCAACAGCCGTAGGGATGAAAACGCTAGTTTACACCCATCCGGTGTAGTAGATGCCATGATCCTTTTCTTATGTAAACATTAAAATATTTTTCTATAAATTGGTTTTTAAGAAATTAGTTTTTTATTGTGTCATAATTTCATTCCCATGTTTTACTCGATTGCACTTAAACTACTGAACCGATTGACATCATTGTGATAAACATCATTGGTAATTCAATTACTTGCATTTGATAGCTTGTGCGACTAACAGATAGGAGATTCCAACTCGAGATATTTATTAAATTGTGAGCCTACCTTGTGATTTTTAAAAATTTCATATTATCTTGAAAACAATTCATAAAACAATTTGTTTTAATATTATCATTTTATAGTGTTATTTGTCTTAATAAATTAATAAGTAATCTACAGTTTACGGGTTTAATATGGATTTTATAAACAATTCAAATGGTTAGTGTACAATCATTTAGACGTATAGACTTACAGAGTGAGTTACTAATATATTTTTAGGATTTCTGTTATTCATGATCCATAGTTTTAAATAGTCTAACTTTGACCATTAATCATTATGTATTAAGAAACCCGGGTTAGGACAAAACCAAACCGGACTGGTCTTAATAATATATTTGTATTATTGATTTTACTAAAAAAAATTGTCAAGCCCGGATCAGACCATTGCCATATTTTGACTAGACCGGACCGCACCCTTTAAATTTAACTGGACTAACCCGGACCTAACCGGATCAATTAAAAAAACTGTAGCTAGTGACTGGACCGGATTAACCCGGGAAACAGTCCGGGCTGTTAATAATAATAATAATATATATATTTATATATGTACAATATCAATAATTAAACACAATATTACCACATTGTTAAGAGAAAAATTGAATTATATTTTGATGGTGGGGTAAAACAGTGATGAGGTAGAATTATGAAGAGTATGGGTTATTTTTTTACATGCTATATCTAATTAATAAATTTTCCGAAAATGTAGTTATTGTCCCTTAATACGAGATAAGTATAGGCATGTTTCTAATGATGTCATTCGCTGGTAAAACTTTTCGGTTTTTTTAAATAAAACATATGTCTACCCTCATGTTTCATTTGAATATGTTTAACCTCAAGCTAAAGACATTTTTATTAATTAATTATAAGTTCTTTTACTAATTTTTGAAATTGTGATTTGTGTTTTAGAATTCAAAGTCGTGAGAAACCAGCTAAGCATCAGAATTAAAATGGATGATTATTGCAGTGAAGTTGTTATCAAAATAGAGGAAGAAGATGAGGATACGAAAGAGCAAATTACTGGAGCATTAGTAGAAGAAACAAAACCGAATATTATTAAAGAATTATACAAGAGGTGATTTAGATTTCAATATCAATAAGTTTGGATTTAAATAATGTTTATATAATATAATTTGTTGTTAATAAATTATAATATTTGATCATACCTAAAAATCCTATAATTTTTAGTCCCATATCTAATCCACAGAATAGGAAGTGCGTACAGTTTTTAGTATCAATATTTCCTTCTTTACTTTTTAGCTATGCACAATTGTATTCGCCAACAAACATTTCTATTACTTCCAATCTTTTCCTAAAACTGTTATTGCCTTACTGAGTACAATTTTCTGTAAATTAAACGAGCGTAGTAAAATGGCCTATTAACAAAATATGTTTTCTTTTTTTTTGGAGTTATTTCTATGACCAGTTAGTTTTTGAATACTAATTTTCAAATTTATTAATTCTTCTGGTAATACTAAGAACATAATTCTATTTTAATATTGATTGCTCATATTCAAGCGGTGTAGTAGATATTTTATATTCCATTTTTAGCCTTTAACATTATGTATTATGTTTAAAGTATCGAAGAATCGTGCAACAATACCATTATCAAAGTCGAAGTGGATCTAGTGAATGGACATTGTTTCGAGTCTGTGATTGAAGTTGAAAAAAGTGTTCTTATGGATGTGCCAACAACAAACTATATCATGGACGAGATACAGCCGTTTGTCTGCGATGTATGCAAAAAAACATTTTCTACAAAAAAAAAAGTTGCCCGACACATTACACATTCACATAGTGCACACTTATCAACCCATAAAAAACGCGTGCACACTGGGGAAAATCATTATAAATGTAATTTGTGCGTATTGTCGTATTCTCACAAATCCAGCCTCACAAGACACCAACGCTTGCACACTGGGATTAAGCCCTACAAATGCACCGTGTGTTTAAAATCACTCGCTCAAAAATCCGAACTCACAGATCATAAACGTATGCACACTAAAGAAAAGCCTTACAAATGTGACGTGTGCTTAAAGTCATTCGCTTTTAAATTCACGCTCACAAATCATGAACGCGTGCACACTGGGGAAAAGCCCTATAAGTGTACGGTGTGCTTAAAGACATTCGCTGTTAAATCTAATCTCACAAATCATGAACGCGTGCACACTGGTGAAAAGCCCTACAATTGTGCGGTGTGTTTAAAGTCATTTGTTCGAAAAAGCCATCTTGTTGTTCACAAACGCGTGCATACTGGTGAAAAGCCCTATAAGTGTGCGGTGTGTTTAAAGCCATTTGCTATTAAATCTAATCTCACAAATCATAAACGCTTGCACACTGGTGAAAAACCCTACAAGTGTACGGTGTGTATAAAGTCATTCACTCAAAAATCCCACCTCACAAAACATGAACGCATGCACACTAGGCAAGCCGTACACAAGTGACGTGTAATTAAAGTTTTTTTTTAAAAACACACCTATGATGACACAAATGTGTACAAACCCTCTGTTTGAGGTTTCTACTCTAAATATTTTTTTCAAAAGTCTGACCTGATACAGTGCTGGTACAGTATAGTACTATATTTTATGTTAAGACATGTTAGATATTAGTATATTTGTTCTTTTTTCAATCATAATTTGTGCGTTATTTTGTTAGTTTTTCTAATCCTAAATTATAAATAGAAATAAACTTTTGAAATGTGATTGTTTGTATAAATTGTATTTATGATATTTAGATGATTATTACTAAGGTTTACTGCGTGTGGTATTAATAATTTGTTGCCTCTTGTTTTTTTGCGGGGTTTTTAGTTATTATGCTACCTTTAGATACCTGGACACTTTGAACTTGGAAAATAAATACGGCAAGAGTGTGATTTAATATTTTTTTTGTTATTTTATTTGAATTAAGAAATTAAAAAAAAACCTTTATATTATTGCTTTACTATTGATTAGTCAGATTATCAAATCTTTAGTCCTATCACTACACCCTAAAAAGAGAAATATAAAAAAACGTTTTTATCCCATCTAAATGACTGTATTTTTATTTTTTTAGGTTAGTTTACTTGTATTTTTAGTTCTATATCTAATGAATATTCCGTACAAACTCGATTATTCTTAAGTTGTATAGTTGTGTAATTTTAAGTAGTAAAATATGTAAATGTTATTATTGATTTTGAAGGGAAGGGGTGTACTATTTAAATTTTTAGTCCAGTTGAGTACCTATCAGTTAAACTTCTTTTTTCTGATAATGATCCTTTGGCAAAGAATACTGGCATGCTATTCCAATGACGCTTTTATCAAGCGATACCTATCACTATTACATTTGGTGTCTTAAAAAGGTCAGCCATATATCTTGGAAAAAGCCAGGAGGGTGAGAAAATGGCTATTAATTGATTTTGTTATCTTTTTTATTGAAACAAACTAATGATTACGATTAAACCATTTCATGACACATTTCTTCATACATCTTGTATGGACAATTTTTGAGACATTCCAAAACCAATGTTAATGATAAATAGAGATTTGAGTTGGATACAAAATACGTATTGTGTTCAGCAAAATGATTCAATATTGTTGTATTTGTTAGAAGTATATTATAAAAGAACTTCACGAACTTGCACATAACCCATTCGGACATTCAGGTACAATTACATTTACAAGAACTTTCGGTCTTACAAATCGATAACCCGACGGTCTCGACCAAAAAGAAACAGCTGTTTCCAATGAACTTCCTTATAAGAAACACCATAACAACTGCATTAGTTTGCACTAAATGTGATAATTTCGAGTGTAGCTCGTACTAATAAATCCGTTAAGTATAGTTTAGTTGACTCGAAAACCTAGCGTTGAGGTATTGTAAACAACCATATAATCATATAATTATACTTCGTCTTCCGAGATAACAGTACCGTGCAGAAACAAAAATGCGTTACTCTTGTAAGCGCCTTCGTAGACAGTTAAAAAAAAAATCAATCACATAGGCCTAAGTATTGGGCATGCACAAGAGCCATCCGTACGTTGAAAGGACAAATATTTAATTTCGGAAACAACTTGTAAATCATCATTGAAAAAACTGTCTTTGTATCCTCCAGTTAACTTGGAATTAAAACTGAATATAACAAGTTAGACGTACTACATAGCTGGAGCTGTGCAATATTATGTAGAAATTTTTACTCATAAGATTTAATTAATAAAAATTAACATTATAAGTGAATACCATATATATTCAGAATAACATCATTAATATCATCATATTATGACAAATATAATTTAATGGCTCTCCTTGTGAACCAGATGCTCTGTTCTTTTGGTCTGTCATATCTTGCACAATTAAGTTCACCCAAAGTATTAACCAATACTAATAAAACATCAATAACGAAATGTGTATACAATTTTTAAAAATTAGTTAAATTCATTAATTATTAGTTATTAGTAATCAATTTAATTTAGCAAGTAAAAATACTTCAACGAGAAAAAACCCTAATTGTGCAGTAGTGTTCCGAAAATTTTTTTAAAATTTTTTTAGCTGTAGAAAATAAACAAAACAAATAATTACTGTAGAAAATATTACAAACGGTTAATATTATCTGCAAAGAACAGTCTAAAATAATAATAAAAGAAATTTATTTTTAAAAAAAAAGTTTTATGACATACCTAAATCGATTATATTGTGTCAAAAATGATTAATATTATGCTATTAAACGTATTACAGTATATAGGTAATATTAATTTCAACATTTCTCAATTTAAGTACATATTTCTTAATTTTAGTCAATAATAAAAAGTCAATTTATATGGGTACAAATGTGTCTACCAACTACCATACATACTAATTGCCTAAGTTGCCGAAGCTTGAAAATAATAAAACAAAATAAAGACAAATGTAGTTTACATTATTAGAAAAATAAAACCAAACCAAATTTACAGCGGTATATATTGATAAATTAGATGAATAATACAAAACTACAAGTATAACTTGAAGGTTAGAAGCTAAGACAATAAAGATTAAAGTATAAATAGTGAGAAACTAGTTAAGAATTAAAATGGATAATTATAACAATAAGGGACTGTAATCTCGTACTCGAATGGTGGGTGATGATTAATTTTATGTTGTGGCCAAAAGTTTTTTAGTAGTTTTTTAATAATTGGCCTTAATCGATTTATTGGCTAGTTATTTTGAATCAATTCATTATCCATTCGCTTAAGTGTGTTCGTTGTGAAAACAACAATACAATTGAATTTTGTCTTGCCTGTTAATTATTTAATATAAGTTTTTAGTAGCAGCTCTGGACAACAGTTTACGTTTCTACGTTGTGTGAGTACCTACTATTTTTCATTTCTAATTAATTTACATTATTTCCGTGTTTTCTGTCTTCATCTTTATATGTTTTTTTATTACTTATGATTTACTCGGAGTTGAGTCGAGTGATCAACGCCAGTTTAATTTAATCTAGTCCGCAAAATCGTCTAGCTTTGTGTTATTATTTATTAATATTGTTATTAATCAAAATTTAGTTTTCAATGTTTAAAAAAACACAATATATACCTTGATTGGTAACTTTGTTGGTTTTTAATTTTCAAATAATGTAATTAATTTAATTTTTTTTTTTCTATATCCAATTGAAACAATTTTTATCGTTTCGTTATAGCTAACTTGAAATTTTTAAAATGTATGATTTAGAAACTGTTGTATATTTTTGTGCATATTTCTTTTTGATACAACGACTTACAACTAATACAAAAATTGTTGATAAGAATGAGTAACAACAAAATGACAGTGTTGCCATTATCACTATAAATATTGTTAATACATAATAGAAACCATAGTTAATATTTGGCTGAGAATTTGTTTGAATTAGTATTTTTAGACCCAGATGTTTCTGAAAACTTCATTTATGTATTAACAATTTTATACCCAAAACAAATAATTAAATACAAGTATTGTACTCAGAACTACAACTGAAACCTCAACTCATTGGTTTTGGTATTTAAATCAAGTTTTTCACGCCCTTTGATTTTCTAAAAATTATTTTCAGGCCTACTATATTAACAATTGCGACTATATCAAACAATTCTATCAGCCTATTTTATAATTTTTAATTTCAAACATGATTTTTTTTCAGAGTTTTATTTAAAATCAGGGAATTTGTAGTGTTCGATTGTAAACTTTTTACTTTACTTCGTCTTTTTAAAAGAAGAATAATTGTATTTTACCATGTTAAATGGTAAACTAATTTTACAATTTCAGACACATAAAAGGTACATTTATAATCTATACTGTAATACAAGCAAAATAATTATGGAAGTTATTATGCAAGAACACTCCGAAAAAATGTATCAATTCTATAAGTGATTCATTAATTGATTAGTATTGTACAAGTATTATTTATTACCAATTAATGTTTGTATTTTTAAGTGACCTTTTATTAATATAGCGGAGTCCTGGTGTGTAGGTAATACAGGGTGGAGCGGAGCTGACTGACGAGTTTTGGGGGGCTATCAATTACGAACATTAATTAGAGACAACCGGTTTGTTTTATTTAAATTATTAACAATTTCAGTTTCTCAAGTTAAGTTTAGAAAATTATATTACCAAGATGGCTGGCGTCATTAGCAATACATTGTTGTAAGCAATTTTTGCAAGTTTTGGTATGATCTTCGGCACGTTTCGATGGGTATGACCGGGATTTCTTCAGTGATTCTCTCTTTCAGGTCTTCTAAGGTATAGGGACAATGTTTGAAAACTTTATCCTTAAGGAAGCTTTAGAAGAAAAAAACGCACGTGCTCAAATCAGGGGAGCGAGCCGGCTAGCCCACGTCACACTTTTGAGAGACTAACCACCCAGGAAACATTTGGAAGAAAAAAAAACTAGCAAATTTCGAGCTGTGTGCTCTGAAGCTC